TCAAGGGTTACACACAGCAAGAGGGGACAAGGTGAAAAATGCCCCTCTTAATCAAAGATCACCAGTCCAAGCACCATCCTCAAAACCCTCAAAGAAATAAACTCATTTTCTGAGCATCTTTAACAGACAACATTCCCTATCATCTACAGGGAATGAAGGAAACTTTGTACAGGGGAAAGGAGCACAAGGTCGATGCAGGATAACAGCTCCTACAGCAGAGGTGCTTGTTCTCAGCCTGGAACACAGCTGTCCCCCCACCACCTTCATCAAATTCCACCTTAGCACAAGGCACTCACGGTTTGTTGTCCACACTCAGCAAACTCCTGGTGCTCAGTACTTGGATGTGCCCAAATTTAGGCACAGATCCATCACACCAAGACACCGCAGCTTCACAAGGACACATCTCCCTTCTGCCCCCAGCTCCTCTCTTCCTCCTTCCCACAACCCCCTTGAAACTGCTAATTCCAACCCGATCCCTCAGCTCACTGCCCACAGCTGAGCTTGATATCCCAAATGACGGTTTCAATGACTGCAGGTGCAGCTAGGGAGAGCTTTGCTCTAGGCACGTTAAACAGAGCTCTGCAGCCTGCTGGAATTCAGCAACAGCAACAATTCCTTGTGCTCCTGTTGCCAAAAATAAAGTCATTTAAGTGATAACAAAGTTCATGGTAGCATCGTGATTTTAATCACACCAAATGCTCTGCTCGTTCTTCCTGCTGCTGAGTGTGTGGAATTGCCTTTTTTCTCCTGTAAAGTTTCACACCAGAGCGAGGTATGGGGAACCTGAGGTAATACACATGCCACGGGTTCACCCAAAGCAATACAAAAATGCTCAAAACAACTTCTTTAAAAAAATAATTGTATTGCTTCTGTTTTTATCTATCTCTTTCATTTTAAGCTCTTGAGAACGGGTATTGCTGGAAGATTCACGGTCTCCATCCTCAGCAAGAAGCATCAGCGAGGAGGCATCCCCCACCGACCGCGGCAGCCGCTCCGTGACGACAAACACCACGTCGGGCTCCGGCGCCTCTTGTGCTGCTGCCAAAGGGGGTGCCAGGCACCAGGACATTCGCTTTCTGCTGAGTGCTTCCAGTTTGGCTACCACCGTGTTAGCAATATCCAGAGGATGGTGAGGCCCTGGCCCACAAACAGTTTCTATTTTAGCAGCTCCATCCAGTCTCATGTTACAATAGAGCAGCTTAAAGCCTTGCTGCCCACCTAGGCCCCTGGCTTAGGATATTGATTTGTTTCTAAATGCCTCTTTCTGTGCTTTTTTTGGTGTCCCCTAGGCCGTGTCAACCTGGGCTACAACCACACGGCAGCGTGGCCCCCTCGAAGCCCTGGCGCCCCCGCGAGCAGCTCGAGCGGCCGTCGCCCTGCGCGTCCCCAGGCT